CCCATGGTACCTGTATGGCATTTCCTTCCTTTCAAAGCCTTCCGCATTATCCCAGCTGACCCGAACCGTCAATGATTATTTTGTTGCTCGCATGATACAGTTCACGTGACGTGTCGACGGATTAGATATCATACCAGTATCGGACCAACCAGCCATCCCACCCCTGCCCACCGTACCATGTCTCTCCACCTTTCTCATCGCGAGTCCTGTTCTTTTCATAATTATGCCGTGGCATATCGCATAGAGCGGGGATGATGAAGCGGGGGGGTTAACCATCTACGGTACCATATCAACATCGTAACCACGCTCTTTCTCTCACACACAAAAAATAATCTATTCGGAATAGGTAGCTCTCACAAGTCTCACTCGTTTTAAAAGTACTCATCGAACCCTTCCACCACACCAAATCCCATCTCAAATCATTTTCCCTATCGCAGCATCCAATCCCCCCACACATGTGCTATACTTACTATACTGTACCGTACATCCCCCGGGCGGATAATTATATTGCCACAAGAACCCTGGACCCTACAACCCAATCACCCCCACAACATCCGTCCCCCCAGGAATGGAATCCTAAAACGTCGGAATTACAGATTTTTCCCGATGATTTCCAATTTTCGATAGTACATGTGTCGTACTGGGCGGCGGTGATGCTGTACAAGTACAGTGCCCAACCAGCCACCCAATAAACCTTCCGAATTATTTAAATGGGAAACTGCTTGCACAAGTAATGCGACCCCCACCCGCCGCATCACAAAAAATCACCAATGCCGACCACGATAAGCGCGCGTGCCATTTGTAATGCGCATTTGATGCTGGGATCATGCTGGTTCGGTGCTTGTACTTGCACTAGTACAAGTACTTGTAAGGTGTCGTAGTTGCGGGTGGGGTGAAAGTACCCGTACTAGTATGATACAGTACAGTACAGGCCGTCGAACCGCCTTGTGCATCGTAGGACCGGTGTCGGGGATAGGGCAAGCGAGACTTGGTACGTATTATAGGGTCTTTTATTTTATTTTATTTCCCCTCGTGTGCAGTTTTAACCATCATACCCCCCCGTTGGGAATTAATGACCGGGATACACTCGAGAAATCGTGGCTGTGAATCTAGGATCTCAACGAAATAAGTGTATTTATTCATTTACTTATTAGAAATTCGGAAATGATGGATTTGTGCGCAGTGTGTCTTGACTTCCCCCCCCTCTCTCTAAGAACTTCCCGGGAGGTGATGAACTCTATTGTGCGAGTCTCTCTTTCGGTTGTTCTTGGCTGCGTCTTCCTCGGGTGTCTGGGTCTCTGGATCTCACCAGGGGTGGTAATTAAGGTAAGGTAGAAGTTTGAGTGCGGGGGTTGGTGTTGGGAGTGTGGCCGTTGGAGTACCCGTTGGAGTAGGTGGACCTGTTGGGTTGTGTTTCACGAGCGCTCTGCTGGGTTGTGGTTTCCGGCAAGAGTGTAGGTGGCCAGTTCGAGTGAGCTTCCATGAGTGTGCGCATACCGTAACTACCGACTCACTAATCATTACCTGCTCCTTGGACTTTACCCGATGGGCGGGGTCCACCTATCATAACTGCGATGAATGCGCTTCCAGGTTATTTATACTAACTAATCGCCCCCCCCACCACTACTGAGTGAAGTCTTCGGGCAAAGTTTCAGCCATAAGTGTTAGCCACGGAGTTCACGGCAGGGCGCAACCGTGAGGGGTAGATCGCGTTTCGAAGGCCCGGGACTTGGAGTCTGGTACCCGTACCGTACTTGTACTTGGGCACCGGCACCGTATGCTAGCGCGATAGTATATCATGTAGGACGGTATTAGTACCGGCTTGGAAGCCGCCACGCCTCGAGTTGGTTTTGTCATATGGATGCACCGCATGAGCTCTGGTGAATTCGGCGACCACCTTGCCGTGCCCCACATCGCCCGTGCTGGCTCTGGAGGAAGGTGCATTCGCTACTGGCCGAGATCCCTGACGCATAGTAAGAAACCTTATTATATGTCCTTATGCAGAGCGTATACTCGAGTACCAAGTTTACCCGAGAAACGATTAACGTCGCAGGAAGCTTACCTGCGCCGGGACACGCTCCCACGTCCCAGTAGGAAGGTACGACCCTAGCCTCATCCCTCAGTACTGTACGATACCGGTACAGTGCTCGAGTACCCGAGTACATATACTTTACCCCCTTCTAATCCCCTTGCCGCTGAAACGCGGGGTGCAGAGGTGCAAGCAAGCAGGCAGGCAGGCAGGCAGGCAGGCAGAGCACATGCCATCAACAATTTTTTCATCTCTCGGCTACACTCCAGCCAAGTCGAGATGATGTGCCGGTATTAAAGTCACTTGTATATCAACCTCAACAACCGCAATAACAACATCTTCAAGGATAGCCTAACGAACTTCCTTAGCGCAGATACCAATGGAACTCGATAAATGAAGTTGGCCCCATATCGCCCCTTTCGGATAATCTTCCCCAGGTCACGCCGGAATGTTAAGCTGGTTTGCTATTACTCAAGCACCTGTATTTGTACCGGCCGAAATGAATTCTGCCCAAAGAGGGCACGATATTTGGCAGTGGTGGTGGTGATGGTTCGCTTGCGGACTGTTCTTGTACCCCTATTCCCGTTTTCGATTGCTCGGAATTAGTGATGGAGTACAAAGGCGCTAGTGTGATATGGCCAGCGCCCGTTTTTGGACGGTGAGGGGAGGAGAAGGTGAGGAGTATTGACAGTGGATTGGTCGATTGATCGATTGATCAATCAATCCAATTAATGAAGCTCGTCTGCTCGTATCTCTTCTCCCTCGCCTTCTTTCCTCTCCCTGCACTGTACCACCGTTCCCAAGTGAGGAGATGACAAGTACGGACGGTCGGTTGTCGTGGAAACCGTAACAAGGCTAAGTCGAAAAAGGAAAAAGTTTGTGTCGGTTTATTTATGGCAAGTTAGCTCATCATCATCGCATCTCCTGCAACGGAACTCTAATTCCCGAATGAGTTCATTTCGATGCACGCCTAACCTTGGGGCTGGGTAGACTCCAGGCAGGACGGTGTGGGTTACTACTGTACGGTGAATGACGGGGTGTTTGAGTCTCAGCGCCACAGGGGCTGTCGGGGAGGGGCAGTGCGGTACTGTAGTCAACGTTCGCTTCTGCTGGTGGCAGCGATCCTTGGCGAGGCACAGGTACGGTACCGGTACTCGTACAGCGCAGTATCGTGCGGTCGGGGAGTGAGGGGATCATTGGAGCGACAACATGCTTCTACTTGTACGGTAAGACTACTGTATTGTGCTAGAACAGTGCCGTGCTTACCGGTGTCGATTATATGTGCTCACACTGGCACAGTCAGCCTTATCATTATCATCATGGCTGAATAGGACCGCAATCCATATAATTTAGTACGGTACGTGTACTCGAGTACCGGTACCGTACTAGCACTCGCACAATGATGCATCACAATACACCCAGGCAGAACTTCCCACCGGCGCTTTTTTTTACAATGATATGATATCGGCACTATCCTCTGCCCTGGTTTCCACGATGACCCTACAGTACTAGCTGATTTTTAAAGTATCCGGACGCCTTGGCACCCAGTGGCCCTGTCTTAGCGCCAAGATGTCCGAATACTTTTTAAATCGGCCAGTACCGGTATTATCTTTGCCGGTCATACTTAAGTACGTTCGGGGGACTAACCTCATGCAGACATTCGGCGTGTCTTCAGGTCCCTTCTACCAACAGGAGGGGGGAAAAGGGGAAGAGAAGAAAGTTGTGTGGTAGCCGCGGATCATTACTCTATGGGGCAGCATGCGTGCACGGCCGTATTTCTGATGGCAACCGGACCAACTGGGGGAGGGAATCTTACTCGTCTATGAGTACCGTGCCGGTATCGTTTTTTTTTTCTTTTCTCTAGTTCGTTCGTTCTTTCATTCGTTCCTGCGTTTTGTTTTTTCCCTTATTTTTTGTTTTGAGGTGGTACCCACGTGGTGGGACAACGGGGAGAGTGTTTCTTTTCCTTTTCTTTTCTTTTCTCCCTATTCCCCTTCATTCCTCGTTTTCTTTTTCCTTCACGTTTGCGGGTTGGGTATGATACGATACAAGTACAAGTTGTGGGAGGGGGGATTGAAGTGGAAGGGAGGTACCGGTATCGTATTGTAGGGAGCAGCAATTGGTACCGGCAGCGGTTTGTGTAAAGCTACCGTACGCTCCGTCCGTGGAAAGGTTGGCCAGAAGCATACGGGTAAGTCGAAGGATGGAGCTCGCCAGTGCTCGCAGTGGGAAAAGGGGAAGTGGGGCGATCATCAGACTGCTGTACGGCGCTGTTCTCCATTCAGTGTTGTCGAGTCGAGCGGGGTGGAGTGAAGGGGAAGAGCTCGGGGCGGAGGAGTTGCCAAGAGAGATGCCCCATCGGTTGCAGAGTTATGGGGGTGATAATTTACGGGGCAACATGTTGGCGGTGTGGGTGGCAGTTCCCAGGTCTCGAGCCTACCGTAGCCCTTACTCGACCATCCTTGCTGTTGCATTGGGGGAGTACTCGAGTACTTGTAGAATTGGCAGAAAAAGCAAGGTGCCGCTGCAGCGATAGGGCCGCGAGATGAGCCTTTCCTTCTAAAGGGGCGAATGGGACGGCCGACTGGCAATGGTGATACTGGTGCTTCTTGCCAATCCAGACGGGCATCGCGAATTGGATGCGAGTCTTTTCTGATGGGCTCCTATCATCCTACGCTCGAGTATTATCTGCTTATTTATTTCTTCACGTTGCATATTTCCTTTTTTCGCTTCCTGCACCTTATTTTGCCTGTTGGGGACGGATGATATCGTCCGCAGCATCATCGTGAGTCTGTTCTGAGAATAGTGCCATCGTCGCCGTGCTGCCTTCGAGCTGATGTGGATGTCTCTGTGATCGCTTCAACCGCCGGGAAAGGGGAGAAAGGGAACAAGAAGGATGGGAATACCGACACGGTGAAGCTTCAGGGGATCTTGATAGCCTGGCCTCCCCCCCCCCCCCCCTCCCCCGTACTGGAGCCGTGTCTGTTTGATCCATTGTCTCCGCCTTCAACAACATCATCATCATCATCGTCCCATTTTTCCTCCACTCCCGCACTCTTTCTTTCCCTCCTCCTTTCTCCGTGCTTTCCCTTCCTCTTGTTTTCTTTCACCCGTGCGTACCGGGGTGGGGTGGTCACTGGTCAATCGGTCGTTCTCTTCGAGTCGTTCTCTCTCTCCTTCCGTTTCTTCCCTTCCATTTTCCGCTTTTTTTTTTCTTTTCCGCTATCCCGTCCTAAACCCCCCCTCCCCTCTTTCCCCCCAAGGGTCGTTATCCGAGTACTCGAGTACGGTACGGTACCTTCTGTTCTCGAGAAACACGTCTTACTCGGGTACCTTCACTCTTCCCTTCCGCACCCTTTTGTCCTCCGTCTCCGTCCAAGTGTGTATCTACCCGTCCGTCCGCCAATTCTGTCAACTAGGATCTACGTCCTGCCGAGCTTCCTCGGTCGTACTCGTTACCAATTATTGAATTTGTTTATTGTGCGTACGGTACGGGGGTACCGGTACCGGTACGTACCTCTTCCCTTCCCGGGGCCCTGCATTTGAAAGGAGAGGATAAAAAAAGGAAAAGGAGCAGAACGTGCTAGGGTGGAGGGGGCACAGGAAAGGAAAAATAAACAATTTGCGGATAGTGCTGACCTTGGCAACAATAGCCCTTTTCCCGTTTACTCCCCTGGACCTGGACCTGGGCTGGAGGAAACGTAGTCGTAAAGGATAAACCCAACCACTCCCCCGACATCCGACGTCGAACAAACGTTTCCCTTACTCCTCCGCGTCACGTTAGGGATTTATCCCTTCGGTACTATCCCTACCCATCTGTCTACCCTTACACAGTGCAGCAGCAGAACCCTCCAGATTTTTTGTACTGACAAAAACGCCTTTCCCTCCCCATTTTAGTTCCCATTTATTTTTCTGAGCGACGAATACCCCATCAACGGTTATAGATTGTCTCGTCTCGTTCTTCTAGATCTAGAGGATAGCCATACCTTATGCTGAGGGGATCGCGATAGAGTTTCCGTTTTCCTTTGGTTCGTCCGTCTGTTTGTCTTACGTTTGTTCAACGATAGGGTATATCCCTGGTGGATCCGTAAATCTTCGACTTTCAATAGGGATTTGTGAGGTGTAGCTGGTAACTTGGCACTTTTTCGCTTTTCTCCCCAAAATTTTACCACGATGGGCATCCATTGACATCTTTTCGGCGCAGGCTTTGGAGGCTTTTCGCTCGCTGAGGAATATCCACCAATGGCGACCACAACAACAACAACACTACCTCGTCCCCCTCGCACATCTTTCAATGCATCTCAGCCACCGACATCGGCCCTGCCAGCTTTGCCAAATTCCCTCTCCAATCGAGCATCCACACAGAACCTTCGCAAGGCCTCTTTGCTCCCACAGACACCACGCAAAATTTCGGGACCGTTACAACGCCCTTCGACACCCTCCTTACCGGTACTAACGGATGCCAAGAATTTGGTTCCTCGTCGGGCGGTATCAATAGCGTCGTTTCCACAGCCACCTAGAACAGGGGGTAGTCGGATAGCGAGTTTGCCACCTACGAGCTCGCTGAGCACGTGTAACCTGGTGGCCAACGATGGAAGCAAGCCGCTGTCTCCCTCGCCTGCTGTGAGCCCAAAGCGGGGAAGTGTAGGGCTGGAGAGGTCGCCTAGCTCACGGAGTATCAAGACAAGCAAGCCGAAAACCGTCTCGGTTGGAAGCCTCGGCTCGGGGTTTTCGGGCAGCGCGGGTGGAACCGCGTATCTGAGTCCTCCTCACAGCAGGAGCAGCAGCGCGCAGGGTAGTTACTCCACTAATGCTACTACTATTGATGCTGGTGCTGGAAGTGGGGATGAGCTTACCGCTAGGGGTCGGACCGATGAAAAGTTTGGAGAGCGTGAAGGAAAGGGAAATGTCATCGTGTCGGTCCGAGTAAGGCCGGACTCCAACGACAGTGGTGGGGGCGGCAGTAGCGAATGGATCGTTGATGGGCGCGACGGAAAGGTGGGATATGGTGGGAGGGACGGAGGAATATATGAGTACGATAATGCCTTTGGTCAAAACGACAATAATTCCCGGGTTTACGATTCTTGCGCTAAACGGCTGGTACGGCGGGTCATGGAAGGGTACCACGGAACCGTCTTTGCATACGGTATGACAGGAACGGGCAAAACTTTCAGTATGCAGGGGACCACATCCTCGCCGGGTGTAATCCCGCTGGCCATCACCGACATCTTCTCCTTCATTAGAGAGACACCCCATCGGGAGTTTTTGCTTAGGGTTAGTTACTTGGAAATTTATAATGAACGGATACATGATTTGCTTGCTACGCAGCCCGGAGGAACTGGCTTCATCCCCTTGGATCAGCAGATGAAGGGGGAAGAGATTAAGCTGAGAGAGGATGCCAAGAGGGGTGTATATGCGACACCTTTGAAGGAGGAGATTGTACAGAGTCCCACACAATTGCTTCGCGTGATTGCCCGTGGTGACTTGGCCAGGAGGACAGGCAGCACCCAGTTCAATGCTCGGTCGTCGAGGTCCCACGCTGTTGTGCAAATTGTGGTGGAATCGAGGGATCGAATTCCTGGGACAACAGCCGGAGGCGGGTCAATGGTTGATAATCGACGGGCCGGTATTACTGGGGGTGTGCGTGTGAGCACATTGAGCTTGATTGATCTGGCTGGCTCGGAGAGAGCCGCCGAGAACAAGGAGCGCCGGACGGAAGGCGCTCATATCAACCGTTCGCTCTTGACGTTGGGAACTGTTATCGCCAGGTTATCGAGTGTTGACAAGGAGGGAAATGGAAAGGACAAGGATGGAAACCATTTGCCGTATCGCGACTCCAAATTGACTCGTCTGCTTCAACCTGCGCTGTCCGGTGGCTCGCTGGTGAGCATCCTGTGCACAATTGCCTTTCCCCCTTCCCAAGTGAGTGGTGCCGCGAATGCTACCCACATCGGCGAGACTATGAACACCCTCAAGTTTGCGGCGAGAGCCAGGAACAATATAGTTAGTCATGCAAAGAAGGCGGACGAAAGTCTTGCGGGCGGGGTTGATGCTGGTAGTCGTGTCTTGCTTGAGAGATATCGTGTGGAGATTAGCGAACTCAGAGCACAACTCGATTCGCAAAAACGCAAAGAAGGTGATGATATGAAGGATAGGGAGGAGAGGGAAGAACGAGAGGTCGAAAGGGTTTGTTTTATGCTGTCGATTTTTTCTCCCCTTACCTCCCTTTACTGATGTTAGGAATGTCTTAGCACTCTGAACAACTCCTTGAAATCCAACTTGCTCGCACGGCGCTTAAGGAGCGTATAGAACACCTTAACCGCCTGATACTGTCGTCCAAGTCCTCTGGCGTCAATTCCACCCGCAATTCGCATCTTGCCGGGAACAGTGGTCACATGTCATCACTTTCAATCCGGTCTTCGACCACGACCACCCATCTGGCCCGTCCCTTTTCCACCGGGTCTTCGGGTTCTACTGCCATCAACGGCGGCGGTAGCGAATGTGCCGATGATGATTCGACCGGGGAACTTGGCGATGGAAGTGCGACACTTGCTGCGCAGGTTCGGGCCCTTCAGGCAGATGTAACCGATAAAAACCGTTACATTGCCACCTTGGAAAAGCGACTTCTACAAGCCCGTCGCAGCTCGCAAAGCAGGGCTAGCATTGGCTTCTCACCGCCTCACAAAGTCCCCGGTATATTCAGCGGGGGTGAGTTAGTCGAGGAAGCGCGGGTGGATGTTCTTCTCCGGGAGAAGGATGAGGAGATTGCAGAGTTAAGGGCTAGATTAGACGACAAGGAAAGGATGGTATCCGCTCTACGGAGTGCTGCTCGAAAACGGGATGTAGCGGAGGTTGGGAGAAGGAGTAAACCATCAATCGACGAGGGGAGACGTCGGAAAGCCAGTGGAAGCAGCGGTGGCACAGTTGAGGGGACAGAAAATGAGACCTTTTGAATAAAAGAAGACAGAACTGAATAACTACTGCTATTGCCGCTACGAAACTGAGAAAAAATGCGGGGTTAAATTGGGTGGTTATTTTATTGCTCTCTGTTGTGATTTCTATTTGTTTCTATTTGCTACTTTCTTTCGTCTTATTGTCTATTTGCTAGTTTGAATTTCTTCTCGGCTCACTGGTTGGTTGGTTGGTCGGTTGGTGACGGTGGGTTTTTCATTTCGATTTTCTGTTCATCTCCTTGGGTCTGGGTTGAAATTTGATGTTTGCAACTCGTAACTGTTTTATACCTTTTGTTTTCGCGCTTGCATTATTTATTTATTTTGAATGGCTGTTTTTTCCCATCTTTTCTTGTATGTTGTATCTTTTTATTTTTTTTATTTTTGCCTGGCGGATGCCTTCCACTTCTTCCCTTTCAGCCTTTAGGGTTTACTTTTACACCTTTTTTCTCATTACCTTTTCTGTCTGTCCCTGGTTAATTAATCTCTTTCTTTACTTCTTCCTCTCTGTTCAATGTTTTTTTTTGCTACACGGAGAATTTTGTCTGAGGATGAGACGAAGGGGCTGGTGACCAGTCGTGACTGGGTTGTATTGCCAGTGTGCAGAGGGTAGTTTAGATGAATGCGGATGATTGATATCCATCTGTCCATCCATTTGGTTATCAAGTGATTAGTAATGTGATATGCCTTGGTTGGCTTGGCGGGTGGGGAAATCGAGCCACAGAGTCTCACTCGGCTGGAGATGTTGATGGCGGAATGCTGAGTGCTCCTGACAATTCACTGGCCACTAGATGGAAACTGGTGGGTTGAAGGGCATCACGGCTCGGTCGTGATACAAAAAAACAGGCCATCATATTAATTACCCTCCCTGGTCTTTGAATAGCACTGTACGCGGTTGGCACCGTACCACCGTACCTCGAGTATAGCTGCACAGCACCGACCGATATGACCATCCCTAAGCCGGCGGGCAGGTAGGTACTAGAGGGTTTAAAGTCCCGGAAGAATTTAGTAACGCGGGCAGTCACTATGGAGCGCTGGTGCCCGCCATACGGTTTCCTCGCAGCCAGCGCCCCCGCGGAAAGGAGATGAAGGAACAAAAGAAACGCTGAGGGGAGCATCCCTCAAGAGCGTCGGCCGGTACATTTAATTGCTCCCCACGGTGATTCTTTTCTCGATGACGATACTATTTGGCGATTTGAATTTAAGAGGAAATTTCTATAAGTCTTCCCGGCACCAGCTTTGGCGCGTCCTCGGGCCGCACATATGCGGCTGCGTACATTTTCCAAGCCAATTTTCACGTAATTTAAATATAGCACTAGCGGGGATCATTTGGCACTGGGGAGGTTTTTTTTTTTTGGTGCGGGGTAGCAATGTGTTCTCCGAGATATGATGATACAAGTCCAAGCTAACTCGCTGTGGGAGCGGTGGATAGAATGCCATGACCTATCACCCATCCTGATTCTGCCCTTTTTTTTTTTTCGCAGTCCTAATGTCCCCTCGCCTTACCCCCTTTCCTCCCTTCCTCATATATTCGAATAGATATTGAGGCCCGGCTAACACTGTCTGGTAGATTTACGTCAAGTTACTGTACGGTGGCGTATGGTACTGTTGCGGTGGCCTAAGGAAGTTTTTTTTTCCGAAAGTGTCTTTTTAAATGAAAGGCATATGATATGTGCGATCTGGGGATGTGCAAGAGGTATTGCGTGCTCCTTCTCAGTTCCGTGATCTCGATCTTTCCCACATTGCATTGATCGGATGTCACCCCACCACGGACAGCGGTGGTGAGGAGGAGGGCGAAAGGGTTTTCCTGTTTAGTCCGGTTTGTTAAGGGTCTCCTTTCTCATTTTTAGTTTATTTTAAATTTCTGCCAAACCGATAGAAGGGCCAGGGATGAGAAATGGGGCGGCATGAAGTGGTAAATGAGCGAAGAGGAGGGATCATTGGATACTCGGGAACTGGTGCACATTTTAGGACTTGTCGGTTTTCCAATTCGATACACTTGAGAGTACACTTGCCTGGTCTGGCTGCAGGGCAGGCCGGGAAGTGATCCTCCTACCCAGGGCACGCACCTACACTCCGCAATGAACAACTGCATAGTCGAATATTTCTGGTCAATACTGGCACCGTACCTTCTGGAACCGTATCAGTATGATTCCTTGTGTAAACATAACCTTTCTAATACTCAGACGAGTGATGTATGGTGAACCTGCCTTACAATAAAAATGCATCTACGGGCATGCTGTTTTATATTTTAATTGACGAGAAGAGGTTCACAGGAGGGGTCTCACAATGGATATGCCCTAAAGTGCTCATCCTTAGCGGGAAACACCAGAATTCTTGAAATACATGATCGCCTCAATACTATCCAGTGAGTAGAGATGTCACTGCTAATAATGGGAATAGTAGAGAAGAGTAGGGTGGAGACTAATATGATGAAGGATTCCATCCGACTACCCAAGAATTAGCACCTTAGAGTATTAGGAGTGGGAGGTGTGAGGGGCATAGTCAGACCCAGACAGTTTCGTAGTAGTATCCGGAATCTAGTTGGATTGAACTTGAATAACCTGACTTAACGGAAATTATGCAGAACACTGCTGCGATAGTGGAACCCGAATGGTGAGAAGGGTAGACTATAAGTCATCTGCCAAGTGAGGTTCTTCCGACCGGTATGAATATATATATGTATTTTGAGAAAGGGTGTGTCTCGGAGGTCAGGAGGAGAACCTGCTGGAAGTCCATGACACAGTAAAATTTAAGATGGGTCAAAGAAGTTTCTGCAATTGTCGCATGAGCTCAATTGAATATGTTGAGATGGGTGTGGGGACATGCTTGGGGTAGCAACAGAGCCCTCGAAGAGTCTATACTAGTACATGGTGCCAGGTCCTCAGCAGTGACCCAAAATCTCAGCTTTGAAGATGCATAGTTGGTACTGCACTGAGGCTAGTTCACCATATCTTGGCTGATATGGAACAACACAGCTTGTCCACTGTAATAGCTATTTCTAATAGAGGATCTGGATTGGAGAGACCATTACAAACCTTTCTCCCTCCTCATCATATGATTTTATGCCCAACCGAGGTTTGTGCACAGGCCAATGGGCTTCTCCCATGTCTTGTGGATCTGTTAGGGAGTAGATAACGCTAAAGACAAGCAAGTATACATTAGGCCCAGTAATCTTCTGTCTCAGAGATTGTCAAGAAGGCTCTTTTAAGATAGAAGTAAAGTAGAATGAATATATTAATAAGATCTCTTCTCTGGTTGCTGGTGGTATCTTAAAGCTAGGGATATTTTTTTTTTGTTTATCTCATTGATTATTGGTTTAGGGTAGAAAAAAAAATAAGAAGGACTAGCTATGATGACAAAAAACCCATATCCTCCCTCTCTCTAGAGGAAAAAGCCAACCCTCCAAGCCTCTCTCTCCTATGGAGCCAACCACACATCTCACCTCAAAGAAAAGAAACCTAAGCCTAGCTAAGAAGATAAACAAAGAAATCCTAACTAAGAAGAAAGTAAGAAGGGCCAGGAAAACCTCCTGAGAAATCCCAAAAAAAACAAAAGAACGATTAGAAGCAAGTTATGTAGGGGCTCTGAGGGGCAGGTCTGCAAGTAATTCAAGCAGAAGGCAATGCAGAGAAGTGCGCAGAGGTAGTAGTAGACTCTCTCTAGACCTACTCTAAGGAGGCAGTATAATACTATAAAGGGAAGGAGGAGACCAGCTAGCTGTGGGTAATAATTAAAGAGAGAGGAAAGGGGGTGGTTGTCACGGCCACCCGGCTATGGAGACGGAATATACATGGGTTCCTCATTGCATATATTGGTTGTGGTTTTCTTGGCTGTATGGTTGGATTTCCTTTGCATGAACGATTGGGATGTGTTGCTGCGCGACGGAAGATAGCGGAACCAGATAGAGAAATCGCGGCTGTGCGCGACGCCAAGAACTTTCTTTTGTATTATTGATCATGGAGGATTTTCTTAGTATATAAAGGGGTGAGCCCCTTTATATTTTACTTTCTTTACGCAATCTGGTAATCTCCTTCGGACACCCTTTCTTACGTTCCAAGGTTCCACCTAAACTCCACGTCGTCCCTGACTTTATCTCACAATAACTTCAGGTCTTGTTCGTGAAGGAATCTTTACCTTCGCTTACATTTATTAACCTCGTAAGGCTTTGTCCTTACGTTTGTTGCCTTTAGGGTTTTCGTTTCCGTCGTTCGTTCGCTTCGGTCGATCGCTTCGATGTCTAAGCGAGGTTCCTCCCTTTCGGCAGGCAAGGTCGCTGCGGCCTTGTCTTCCCTTTTGGCGTCGGTCGATGAGGCTTCTCTTCTTCGGAAGGAGGTCTCCCGCCTTCGCCACCACGTCTCGGTGCTGTCTCGTCGACTCCACTTGTCGGAACGGGAGCGTGCGGCCTTGGTTGCGGCTAAGCGTTCGCCCTCCCCTCCGTTTGGCGGGCCAGGGGACATGACGCCGCCTCCCAGCGGGGGGGTGGCTGAAGAAGAAGAGAAGGTGGCTACGGTGCGGTTGCCCACGGTGGCGTCCTTCCCTTCGGGGATGCAGGCGCTTGAGCCATTCGTGGCT